CCGAACAAGAAGGAGGAGAGTCAATGCCTCACTGTACCTATATAGAGTAACTGATATTTAAAATTCCCGTTGGGGTTCATACTGCTTGCTAAAAAATTTCAACCCCAATCTCATCCTATTCAATTGACCTCTTTTTTCGTCCATTCAAATTCTTTCGGGACCCACGTAATTACTAGCGTGAATGTTTTCTCTTCGGGAGTATCCAGTGCCTCACCTCCCTCGCCGATCCCATGGCGACCTCTATGGTCATATCCCATAATTTATCTCTTTCTTCCATCAACCCTCGTCATCCCAAATATCTTGTCAAGTCACCAGTAGTTGCTCTCAATGGCGTTCGAAGCTCACAAAGGCATTCCATTTTGCAAAGCTCAGTCGTACCCATTGGAGGTTCTGGATTCAATTCCAGCTTTTTGCGTACGCGTACTCAAGAGAATTGCAGAAGTCGAGAACTTCTGACAAAATCGGCGGAAACTGACAGTGGAAAAACTTCCACAATTGGCCAAAATGTGCGACTCTGTTTCGATGTTTAATTGGGTTTGTGCCGGTTAAAGAGCTGGTCTTATTTTGTTTTGCTTCAATGTACTCCAGGTGTTTGGGCTATTGCATTTGCTTGTCTCGTTGGGGCTTATTCTTGCGATGGACAAATATCTTAAGAAAGCCTTCCTGGCTGCTGCGATTAAATTCCCTAGCGCACTGTTTGGGATGTTTTGTATATTTTCCGTTTTGATAATTCTTGATTCCACTGTGCCATCTGCAGCCACAGCCTTAATGAACTTCTTCGAACCGGCGCTTTTGTTCATTCAGAGATGGCTCCCCTTATTCTATGTTCCATCTTTGGTTATCTTGCCCATTTCTGTTAAAGATATTCCAGCTGCTTCGGGCATCAAGATTAGCCTTATTGTAGGTTGGTGAATATTCTCTGAGTCGTCCTACTATTTCTTTTACTGTCTGTGGAATCTTCTTTTTTTTCCCTTTCACTATATGTAGATGGAAAGCATACTGTTTTATTTGAATTGGTTGATCTGCACAAGTTAGATTCGTCGTTTAGTTTGCCGCTTTACGCTGTTTTCATTGCTTGAAGAATCAATTGATCGTTTGGTCCTCCAAAAGTTACCCAAATATACTTTGCCTCAATCTGGTCCCTAAAAAATCAAGAGTCTCATTTTAGTCTTCCAAAGATTGCTTCTATTCTAAAATAATCTTCATGTTAAGCTCATTAGTGCATAATTAATGGGACAAAGTGATGTTATTTGATTGAGTGAGTGATGTGGTGGCCGTCATAATATTGCCCAAGCATTTTTCTCAAACTTTATATTGAGCTGAGTTTATGAAACACATCATTTTGATGGTCACATTAACATTTTTATGGATTTAACATGAGAACTTTTTTATAACAAATATTATTTGAAGGACTAGAATTGGACATCAATTTTTGTTGGACTAAATTGAGACAATGTAGTCTTTGAAGGACTATAATATCAATTCACTCAAACTTGAATCAGCACTCCTACTTAGTTTTTCTTTTCCTGATATGCCATGTCTGATGTGCCTAAGTTGTGTTGTGTTGTTATACTTTCATTCAAATGCCATGCTGATATTTGTCTGTGTTATGCAGTTGGGGGTTGGCTGGCTACACTATTGGTTGCTGGTTTCACAGCTATAGCAGTAAGAAAGCTGTGAAGACAGAAATGATAGATGCTGAGCCTATGAAAAAACCCTCCCCATTTTCTCCCCTTGAAGTGTGGGCTTGGACTGGGATTCTCGTTGTATCATTTGTGTCTGCATTATTTTACCCCACTGCACTGGGTACAAGTGCCAGAACCTGTCTTCCTTTCTTACTTGCATCCACAGTGTTGGGCTACATGGTCGGTTCTGGGTAAAAAATTTCGTTCACTTGTGTATCTACATAATAACAAGGTCTTGATCTTTGTTCCTATAAGAGATTATTATCATCCTTTCTTTCATATATATATGTATATATATTAAACTTCCAGGTTGCCATCAGATATGAAGAAAGTATTACATCCAATCATTTGCTGTGCACTTTCAGCAGATGTGACAGCTTTGGCTTTTGGATATGCTTCGAAGTTGGGGTTTGAGCCTGTTCTAGGTATTTAATGCTAACTGCTTAACTCACTAAATTATTAAAAGATATTTAAATTCAGGATGTGTGAGTCTAAGTCTGGCTTTCAGAAAAATATTTTTTTTATTATTTGTTTTGTGACTCTTCTTTCTACACACAGGATATTACCTTACGAAGGTATCCTCTAACCCTGGAGCTGGTGACATTTTAATGGGATTTTTGGGATCTGTCATTCTCTCTTTTGCCTTCTCTATGTTCAAACAAAGAAAGGTAACTATCTAGTTTTCAAATGAAATAAATGCAGTAATGCAGCAATGAAATGGAGTTTGGAGAAAAAAAAAAAAAAAATCGCCTCTCTCCTTAATGTGGCCAAGCCATCCTGTTGATTGGTATATTATTTCCAGCTTGTAAAAAGGCATGCAGCTGAGATCTTCACCTCCGTTATAGTCGCAACTGTATTCTCATTGTACTCAACTGCTCTTGTCGGACGTCTCGTGGGATTAGAGCAATCTTTGACCGTTTCCATTCTACCCAGATGTATAACTGTTGCATTGGCCCTTAGCATTGTGTCTTTATTTGAAGGTACATATTATGTCTGCCCTGAAACCATATCTTGATCACCATTGTGCTTTGAGGTTCTATATTTAAAATTTGCTCCCGTTGCTTTTAGGTACCAATTCATCTCTGACAGCAGCTGTGGTTGTAGTAACTGGTCTGGTTGGGGCAAATTTTGTGCAAGCAACGCTTGATAAATTTCGTTTTCGCGATCCAATCGCTCGAGGAATTGCAACTGCATCGAGGTATATTCTGTAATTCATAATCACACATACTCGTCCAAAAACATCTCTTCTAATATTTCATAGACTGAGGTTATCAATGCTTTTCCTTCCTGAATCATGCTCAGCGTGTTTCCGAGGCGACCTTTTTAATCTTAGCTGATTAGTGGTTGCACAGAAAGAGAAAACTGAGGTTTTTCATTAAGATTATGGCGTGCTGAAGAGAACTGGGTTATAAAAGGGAAACTGAATTATAATGACCTTCTTGAAGTGTCATTGAAATTACAGACTTACTTTTTATTTAGAAAATTTTGAAACACTTTCTCTGACACAAACCTCTTGAATGATTTAAAACAGTGCTCATGGACTTGGAACTGCAGCACTGTCTGCGAAGGAACCTGAGGCTCTGCCATTTTGTGCCATTGCTTATGGTCTGAACGGTATCTTTGGATCTATTCTTTGCTCCATTCCTGTTGTTAGGCAAAGCTTGCTTGCTGTTGTTGGCTGAATCTGAGGGCTCCAGCATCTCCACTCTTGTAAACCGCCTGAGGCATTGTCAGAGACGACAACACTAATTTACAGAGCCATCCTTTTCTAAGAACCTCGTTGCATGTAATAAGCCATCCGTTCATTTGTGTAATAAACTGTGCAAACAGTTTCTTATTTTGATGTTAATTTATCCCTTAAATTGATTTAGACCGGGTGTGCATAATAACAACAATAATAACAAAAGCAAATAATGAACAAGCATGTAAACTTTTAATGGAGAAGTATACTACTTTCTATCTTTTGCATAAGAGTTAGTTTGACTTTTAATTTGGTTCTAAATATAAGATTCCAATCTACTTTGTCTCTCATATTTATCTTTTTTTTTTTTTCAAAGTAATCTTTATAATAATTGCACATGTTAAATATTCTATCAAATAATAATTTTAGCTAACACACATGATCAGTAAGTGTATTTTATAAAAGACAATATTGATTTATTACAAATAACTAACTTAATAAATTTTTTTAATCTATTTAAATTAGTCAACTAATTTTTATATTGAGCCTGTTTAGCAGGGCTTTTGTGGGCTCAAAATTAGTTTATTTCACTTATAAGCCTGATTGGAAAATAGATAGGTGTTTGGCTGGGCTTAAATAAAAAAGTAGCTTATGTTTTTTAAGCTGGAAAACGTACGTTCAGGTTCAAACTCCATTTTGTAGCTTATTGGATCACTTTAAGAGCTTATATGTTCTTCCTTTTATACGATCTTGCATAATTCACAACCATTGGCAGTAATTTTTTTTTTATTTTTCTTATATTTTCAATTTTAATTTACTTATTAAATTTTACTTTTTTACATTAAATTAAATTAAATTTATTGTATTATTTCAATTTATTTGTTTATCACATTTCACTTTATATTTAAAATACTTTTTATGATTTTTCTAAAGTTTTAAAATTTAATTCACTCATTAAATTTTAATTTTATTGTATTATGTGAAATCATTTTTTTAATCATGTTTCATTATTTATTAAAACTCATACCTATTTTGGTTATTTTACAACCAAACTTACTTTTACTCAACCATAATTCAAATAACCTTTTACTAATCTCACTTTTACAAATTAGTTTTTTTGAACTCCAATCCAAACATAATTTAGCTTATCTAATTTAGTTTTTACCCAACTTCACTTTTTTTTTTTTACCCAACTTCACTTCTCCTTAAACTACTTTTTTAATAAGTTACTTTTCTAATCGCTGATCCAAACGGATCTGTTGAGGATTAGAGGTAGTATTAATATGCTTACATATTTTCCCTTAATTTTAGGAAAAATGATAAGAAAATATCTTTAAAATTTATAAATGACAAATTAATGATTCCATATTAAAAATATCAAATTACTCTATCAAATCAATTTGGTATTTTGAAAATGTTGTGAAATAGAATTAATTTTCTCAAAAATACATTTCTGTTTTTGGGCTGAATGTAATGAATGACGTGTTTCTTTCATTTCATCAAAAGAAGGAATAATTATGTTCTAAATCGTTGGTTAGTGCAACGTGAGACATGAGAAGTAGTGGTCAAAAGTCAGAGCTGATTCCACGAGAATTCTGGTGATAATTTTAGAAGGCGGGAGATTACCATGAACGTGAAGGGTGGTGGAGGAAGGAGGAGGAAGAATGAAGACCCAACACGTGTAGGAAGGCCAATTTGTTGTCGTAGAGGTGCCATTTTAGGCGAAGGTGATCGTCTTTCTGAGTTGGAGGCGGATCAACAAACCCTATCGCGCTGCGTTGTTCTTTCCTTGTTCGTCGCCTGACAGCGGAGGAGAAGTTTCCATGCTTCTCCTTATCCACATTGCTTCTTCTGGGATCCGCTTCGCTATAATTACCTCTCTTCTCTAGCTCGTCCATTTCTATTGCATTCTGGGTTCTCTTTCCTTCCAAGTCCAAGGTCTCTTTTACTACCTTTTTCTTGGCTTTCTGTCCTTTATTTTTTTGTGTACTACGTCGAAGCTATCACCTATCTTCAGAATTGTGTTATAGCATCAGCCTGATTGCAAAAAAACACATACTTAGTATTGATATTGGATATGATACGAATTTTCATATTGATGAGGACGGTCTTATCGTTTGTCATATTTGTGTTGTTGAATTCTTATTATTTTACCACGCATAGAAACGGTAGAGAATGGCACAAAATTATACTCTCTCACATTACATTGATATTTAGGCCACTGCTGGAGCACAATGGAATTTTTTTTCCCATTCATTCATTTTTAGTTAATTTTATTTGTTATTGAACATCGTTTTTCTTCTTCTGAAGCAATTGTTTGTTGGTAAATGATTCTTTCCTTGAATCTCTGCGTTTTATAGATATTTATCTTGGGTTTCAGACCATCCTTCAGGAGATCCCAGGTGCTAAATTGAAATGGATGGTGTGAAAATTATTGAAGAGATGCCACTTTCGGAACCCTCAATTATTGTTGATCAGGCTGCTGGGGAAGTGGGAACAGAGTTTTCTCCAAAGCCTTCTGATCATGTCAATGCGAAGAAACGCGTTATTGATACAGCAGCACCTTTCCAATCTGTCAAAGAAGCTGTTTCCAAATTTGGAGGAACTGTAGACTGGAGAGCCAATCGAGCCATGAGTATGGAGGTATATCTGACTTACGCGGTTGATTGCTTTTAGTTCTGTTTACTTTTTGGTTTTTTTAAATGTATTTCGTCTTTTTGGGGTTTACACCTCGCTCCATTTGCTTAACACATTAAATTTAAGAAGTCATTCGGAAATAAATCTCTTTGCTATTTGTTTGCCTTGTAAAGTTGATGGCATTTGAATAGCAAAGACGGTATATGAATCAATTAAAATTGAAGTATAAGTTAAAAATGGAACTTGATGCAGAGTTAAGAGACTGAAATCACATTTTCGGCCTGGTATTTACATCCTCAAAGGTTTAGCATATATTCGTACTTTCATGGGATGAACACAATTTTGGTTCAGTTTACATTGAGGTTGAATTTTTGTGTGAGCAACATTGAGGTTGAATATCAAGAACCACTATTTGTTTCCTGCTTTTACAGAGGATCAGGTTTGCAGAAGCAAAACTTGAAAAATCAGAGGAGAACCAACTACCTAATGAGGATTTGGGAAGGACTTTGAAACTTATAGATGAATTGAAACTCAGCCTTGAGAAGGCACAAAAGGAGGAACATCAGGCTAAGCAAGATTCAGAACTTATGAGGCTCAAAGTTCAAGAGATGGAGCAGAACATCGAAAATGAAGCTAGTATTGCTGCTAAGGCTCAACTTGAGATTGATGAAGCCATGCATGCAGCTGCAGTTTCAGATTTGAAAGCCATAGAAGAGGAACTGGAATCACTGCGTAAGGATTTTGCTTCTATGGTGATTGAAAGTGAGAAAGCTATTAAAGAAGCTGAAGAGGCTGTTGCTGAATCTAAAAAGGTTGAGAAGACAGTGGAAGATTTGGCTCTTGAGTTCATTACTACTAAGGAGTCATTGGAGTCCACGCAAACCAACAACTTAAAATTTGAGACAGAAAGAACAAGAGCAGCCATGGTTGGAGATCTCAGATCAAAACTGGATGCATCTTCTTCTTTACTGCTTGATTTGAAAGCCAAACTAGAAGAGACAAAATTGAAGCAGCAGTATGATGAAGAACAAAGAAAGGAACTTGAGGAAGTAAAACGCAAAATAGCAAAAGAAACTGCTGAGGTTAACTACTTGAGGGTAGCTTCCCTATCGTTAAAATCAGAACTTGAAGAGGAAAAATCTGTTAGTGCCGTGATTAGGCAAAGGGAGGAAATGGCGTCTGCTGCAGTTGCATCTCTCAAAGATGAACTTGACAGAACTCAATCTGAAGTAGCTTTGGTTCAGAAGAAGGAGAAAGAAGCCAGAGAGAAGATGATTGAGCTGCCTGAGAAACTGGAAGAGGCAGCCCAAGAGGCTGATCAGGCAAAGATGCTTGCTCAGGAAGCTCATTTAAGGCTGCAGAAAGCAAAGGAAGAGGCTGAACAAGCAAAGGCCAAAGCAAATGAGATGGAAAGTAGACTACTTGCAGCACAAAAGGAGCTAGAGGCTGTCAAGTCTTCTGAAAAGTCAGCAATGGAAGCAAGTAAAGCATTGCAAGAGAGTGAATCAGCTAGAAGCAACAGTAATGCAGAATCTCCCTCTGAGGTGACACTTTCAATGGAGCAATATGATCATCTCTGTAAGCTTGCCCATGAAGCAAATGAGCAAGCCAATAAGAGGATTTTGGCTGCTAATTCTCAGATTGATATGGCTAAGGAGTCTGAATTGAGAAGCTTGATGAGGTTGGAAGAATTAAATCAAGAGTTGGCTGAAAGAAGGAAAATGCTGAAGGAAGTGACCGAGAAAGCTGAGAAGGCAAAGGAAGGAAAATTAGGTGTAGAACAAGAGTTGAGAACTTGGAGGGCTGACCAAGAGCAACGAAGAAATGCCAGTGAAGAAACCCAAGGAACAGTAAATCAGAACAAAGATTCCAAGTCTGGTTCTGATGGAAAGCAAGAACCCAAAAAATTGGACCAACCTACAAACAAAAAGGGCACTGGACCATCCTTAGAAACAAAGACCAAAAAGAAGAAGAAGTCATTGTCATCAAAGATTGCCATGTTCTTTTCCAGAAGAAAAACCCATCCAACTAAGTGAACTTAATCTTTTACAGTAGTCCTACCTCCCATCTTTCGCAATTTTCCTCACATGAGGTACAATTGTTTGATTTGACCAATGCTGCAAACATGTGTCTGTTTGATATACTTGTAGGCATGGTTGATAGGACTTGATTCTCACCCGGTGGAACTCTGGAATCTGTATGTGCTGTGAATTCTGGGGACACATGCTTTTCTATCAAGTTCTTGGTTGTAAAAAGATAATAAGATGATTTTTTATTATATATAGGCTGTAGCTATTCAATTATTCTTTGTTTTTACTCTGTTTTCTTATTTTATTTTTCCTTCTTGAATTGAATTTGAGTTTTTTTATTTTAAATTACCGTTTTGCTGATAGATCTTCATTTAAGCATCATAAACTGTTCTTTTCCCCTGAGAAAATTTTCCTTAATATGATGCATGTCATGATTATGCAATTAATTTTAGGCTCAAGATCATAAAAATCTCAAACTTTTCATGCTCTGAGCAAATAGTGGCCTACGTATTGGTTATTGGTGGTGATGTGAAAGTTATACCGCTGGAAGAGTTCTTCAAATTTTGAATTAATGCGTGTAAAGTTACTGGGCCTTTCAAATTATTTGTTTCCATTCTTATTTTAAATAACATTCATGTAGAC